TCAGTGTCCATCACCCAACCACCCCATCCCTCCCACCCCTCTCCCCTCTAGCAACCCTCAGTTTGTTGCCTGAGATTAAGAGTCTCTTGTTGTTTGTCTCCCTCTGTCTTTCATCCACCCCATTTTATATTTTCCTCTCTTCCCCCATGATCCTCTGCCTTGAAAACTACACAATATTATAGAGAGAAATTAAATATCTAATAAATGGAGTGGTAAATTGTTCATGGATTGGAAGCCTCTATTTTATCATTATGTCTACCTCTATAAGTTGATCTCTAAAGTTATGACCATCCAGTCAGGGTTCCAGTAGGATTATTTTAAAAGAATTTACAAGCTGGTTATAAAGTTAATGTGAAATTCAAAGGCTATAGAAGAGCCAAAATGATCCTGAAAAAGAACAATATTGGAGGACTTCACTACCTGTTTTCAAGAATTAATAAGAAGCTCCACAGTCATCAAGATAGTGTAATATTGGTGTAAATAGATCAATGGAACACAACAGAATTCAGAAATAGACTCACATATATAGAGTAATTGATTTTCAATAAAATTGCCAGGAAAATTCAATGGGGGAAAATAAGTCATGTCAACAAATGTGACTAGAACAATGAGGTATCTATATGAAAAAAATGTCATTGTATATTACATTCGTAGTACCTATTTATGACAAATTACAATTTTGAGTCTATGTTATATATACCTTATGAAATAAATTATGCATGCAACTGCTCTATAAGCTCTCTCAAATCTCAGGAGTCACATTTATTCAGTAAAGCTTATTAAAGAGTTGCAATTGCACCGAGGACACAAGGGCATCATTTAGAAAATAGTTTGAAGCATTAAATATTATTTTATTTTCTGGGGGGATATAAGAATGACTTTCTATTTTTATTTATTGTTTTAAATTCAGATTCAATTAAGTAACATATAGTGTATTATTGGTTTCAGAGGTAGAGTTCAGTGATTCATCAGCCTTTGCTTTCTTACCACTGAGCACTTGGTTGTGGCCCTGCAAGAAAATACGTAATTTTAGTCATTCTTCCAAAGATAAATATTTGCTTCTCCAACAGCAGATTTGCATCCCACTGCTGTTCTGTGCCTTTCTGTGAACACAGTAACTTTTATTTCATTGCTGAATCATAGTGCAATCTTTCTAAAGATATTTGAACGGCCATGAAAATCACACGTAGTAATAGCCATACACACAATTCCAAGGAGGGACATGATGGGAAGGAGGGACTACTACACCGGGGCTGACTTGGTGATGTCAACATGAGTCTCTGTGGATCATAAAACAGGTTGTAATTTCAGAGATATTAAAATGTGGGGGGAAAAATCCAAACCACAAATGTGTCTTAGAGTTAACAAAATGGTTTAGTAATTTGGGAATCCCAATTGGTTTTTTTTGGTTTTGTTTTGTTTTGATTTGGTTTGTTTTCCCCTCCTACAGAGGAACAGACACAAAGTTGCACCACTGAGATCTCCAAGTGAGTTGTGATTCTCCCTTTGCTCATTGGATATGCTTGACCATCAGAGAGAGCAGCTAGCATTCTCTTGGGTGTGTCGGGGGTGGAAATGAATTTTAAGGGATTCAGGGGATGCCGGCATTGAGGAATTGAAGTAGCCAATTGTGCTTTTGGACAGATCAATTGTTTTCATGTTCTTCCATACATTATCTGGGAGTGGCAGTTCTAAAATGCCCACCTAACGGTCCTAGTCTGCTTTCTGGATATGTGGGGAAACTGACCTCCTCACGCCCACATACTCTTTGAAATATTGCCAGATCATCGTGTACCCTTAACTCTTCTCACTTTCTTCAACCATTTCTCCAAAATTCTGAAAGCTGGTAATAAACTTCAACATTATTCAGTATTTATTGCACATTTATTGCACATGCGATGGTCCGAATGTTCATGTCTCCCTCCCTTCTTAGATTCATATGTTGAAACCTAAACCCCAAGGTGATGGCATTAGGTGGGGCCTCTGAGACACAGTTAGGTCATGAGGGCTGCATCCTCATGAATGGGATTCGAATCTTTATAAAAGAGGCTCCAGAGGGATCCCTTGTCCCTTTTACCTCGTGAGGACACAGGAAGAGGTTGACTACAACCCAGAAGAGAGCCTTCACCAAAGTGCGACCATGCTGACATGTGGATCTTAGGACTTCCCAGCCTTCAGAATGTTGCTAAATACATTTCTTTTGCTTAGAAGCTATCTAGTCTGTGATATTTTGTTATGGTGCCTGGACAGACTCAGACATATTTATTGTTTGAAAAATAATGATGCTAAGTTATCACTTCCAGAGTGCATCTGTGGCTGGCCTTGTGCAGAGGGTTTTACTGATATTACCCTATTTGTTGCTCATGACAGGCCTGTGAAGTAGGTACAATTATTGCACCATTTGAATGATGACAAAAACTGAAGCTCAGAGAGGATTAGGAACTTTCCCATGGCTACACAACTCGTAGCATAGCTGTGTCTGAGTTTCAAAACCGACTCTCCTTGTAATTAGTAGCCATTTTTATATAGTTCTGTATAAGGAACTTGTGAAAATGATGTCACAAAAATACAACCAGATGAGCAGAGACTTTATTTCAAACTGGTGCCCCAAAGACATTATGTACTTATTCTAATGGTTCTTCTGTTATTTGGGACACTTTTGGAACACCCTTTTGGAATTGTCTTTAGGACCTGTGTTTTGAGTATCATCTTTTAATCAATCACGATTCATCCTTGGAGGTCAGATTTGACTGAAGGACCCTAATGAGGCAGATCTACCTACTCGGGCTTTGGATGACTATGATCAATGGGGCAATAGAGTTTTCAGTCATAAGAAAATGACCAGTTTCCTTGCGTCTCTTGTCAACTAAAGCAGAGGCCTCCTTGGGATGTGTATGATCCTCCTTGGGTCATGACAGTTTGAGAGACATGAGACATTTATGTAAATGCAACTAGCAGGAGTTAAAAAATAGAACACACATCGCCTTCATTTATCAATATTAGCAATTTGTGTCACACTTATGTTTTGTTGGTACACACCAGGGACCTCAAATTAGCTGCTCAAGGCAATGAACAGCTCCTGGAAGTGTTTTGTGTGGTCCTTTTAGTGCAACCACACAGTGTGTTAATGGGCTATATAATTAGGCAGATTTTAGGCTTGGTGGCAAAATAAGCAATTCAGTTCCGGTTGTCCTATATCCACCCACTCACGGTGTGTATGTTAATCCCACACCCTCTGAAGGCATCTGGGCTTTTGACCCCTGGTGTTCACACTCTTTTGTCTAAAGGAATTTTGAACAGGCATTTACTCAGTTCAGAAAAACAAAAAAATGACACACCTTAGGGTATTTCATGCCCCAATTCAAACTTAAAGTTTAAGCTTCTCCCAGCTAAAAATAATTCTTCCTTTTCCTGAATTTTTCTAAAATTTCAGTGAACTCCCCTTTGCACTCCCAATCAGCTCTTTGTGGAACAGTTCTCTTCAGGGGGTGTGTCTTTGTCAGCAGAGGTGGTCCTGTGGAGATGAGGCTAGGGCTTTTCCAAATCTACTTTTTTGAAAAAGCAGGAAATATCCCTAAGCGTTTGGACCTTTCCTTTATACTTTCTCCTTGCCCCTTTGCTAGCCTGGTTGTCTTGATTTTGACATGAGTCTTGGATTCTGACGCTTGTTATCGACTCTGCTGAGTTTTCAGGCATCTCTTGCTCATGCCAGATTCCTAGTATTGCCTTGCCCACATACTTCATTAACTCTATGCCTGCTAGGCTTGGTGGCCTGTCTCTGCTTTTCATTATATAATTCTGGGCTATGTCCACTTCCTCTTGGGGCTGCTACCTCAAATGAATCATACCTACCACCATAAGAAGAACTGGGACAAAACTGAGGACTGGGTTCTCGGGAGCTTCTGCCCCCTAATATTGAGCACTGTCTTTGTATAGGCAGAGCCTTGACAGAAATTTGTTGATGAAATAATTTTTTTTAAAAATGCAGTTACAATAGCATTTCATGATGTGGAAAGGAAAGTATTCAGTGAACTAATATTGGATGTACTTCTTTAGAGGAGGCATCATGGAAGGTGCAGAGGAATCAGAGATGGAAATTTTGGGTCTCTTTCCTTAAGAAATGTACATGCCACTCAAAGTCTAGAGCTTGAGGGGAAGTCTGGGTGGTCATTTTAGAAAGAGATGATAGAGAATTTACTATCTATGCTAAGCAAATCTTGACTATGTTAAGGGAGTTATAATTTCTGAGCTGGAAAGATTCTGGAGAAAAATTGGGAGAGTCCTCTCTTGGGTTTTGATGCTGGCTGAAGAATGGTGGTCCCTGAGCGGGGAGGGGGATCCTGGAGAAGGGCTTGGCAAGGGAGGTGTGTAAAGCCCATATGAGTTCACGAGCAGGTTTCCCAGGGCTGTCCATTCTACCTTTGGTTAATTTTGGGGGCGGGATATTGGTTAGAAAGGAGGTTTGTTTTTTTTTGTTTTTTGTTGGTTTTTTTTTTTTTTATATGGGAATTTTATTTTATTTTTTAAAAAATTTTATTGTGTTATGTTAGTCACCATAAAACACATCCATAAAAATACATCATTAGTTTTTGATGCAGTGTTCCATATGGGAATTTTTTAAAAATCACACAGCCTCCTGGAGATCAGTCTCTTTTACTGGCTTAGCATGACTTTTAAAAATAATGAATCTGTTGTGATATGCAACTGAAATTCTGACTTTTTTTTTTAAGGGGGGGGCCCCAACCTTACCAGTAAACCTGAACTTTTTCTTAATGTCACAGATGCTGTGGTCAAAGTAGTTTTGGTTATGAAGCAAACTCTAAAAAAATAGAACAACCAAAGTGATCTTCCTCTATATACACTGTAACTGATCTACCACAGCATCTCATTGGTGAGGTGGACTTGAGAGCTCAAGTAAGTAGGTTATCCAATCATCTAACCAGCACAAGGAACTCTCGGGCTGCTGCCAGTGACACGAGCCCAGAGTGGGGTGGAGGGAAATGCAGGTGAATTGCATTTGGAGGTCTGGGTTGCTCTTTGCTATTCTGTCTCTTGCCTTTGCCAAGCACAAGCCATCTTCCTCTGCGAAAGGTTGTTACCCAAGGGGAACACTGTCCCAAGCTGTTGACACACTGTACATCAAGGCAGCATGGCTCAAAGCAACAATTCCAGTAAGTATTAGGCTCTGCTTAAGATGATGGCTGAAAGGACATTTGTCATTATGGATGAAACTTATTTCCCTTTGTTTTACTGTAGGAAGACCGCATAAAAAACATACGATTATTAAAAAAGAAAACAAAAAAGCTATTTATGGTAAGCCAGAGGGTTTTTGTCTCTTTCATTTTTCTACTTGTTTGATGCTTTCTCTCCAGTATTTTAATTTTTCCAGATAGCCATCAAGTAATAATCAGTCGGGTGTTTCAGCAACATTTTACCAAAGCTATTCATGCTTTACCTTAGGCAATTTCTTATATGCCATTTATAGAAAAACTGCAGGTTCCAAGAACAGCTTCTGTCCTTCTTCATGGAAGATGTTTTTGGTCAACTCCAAGTACAAGTCTGCAGGGAAATACATTTTGTGGAAGAACTTCACAGTCTTAGACAGCTGTTGAGCCGCTGTGTAAGTATATCTATCTGGCAAATATGGTGAGTTTGAACCTAGAAACCTACCTAACAAGTAGGAAGCTATCTCTGCCCCGAAGGGTAAGTAATAGGGGCTTTCTAACTGTTGGCTTGTGGTCCCAATGGACAGTTTATCATCAGTGAACCAGCACTGAATAAGCATGTAGCAGGTTTCTTTTTCTTTAAATCTTTCCTTCCTTCTTTCCTTCCTTTCTTCCTTCCTTTCTTTCTCATACTGATTAGGGCTTTTAGATTACTTTTTTCTTAATTATCTAACTTTTTTTTAAAAAAAGATTTTATTTATTTATTTGACAGAGATCACAAGTAGGCAGAGAGGCAGGCAGAGAGAGAGAGAGGGAGAAGCAGGCTTCCTGCTGCCCAATGCGGGGCTCGATCCCAGGACCCTGGGATCATGACCTGAGCCGAAGGCAGAGGCTTTAACCCACTGAGCCACCCAGGCACCCCTATCTAACTTTTTTCTGGTGATTCCTTTTTTAAGGCATAGTCTCTGTCAAAACTTTAAAAAAGGGTGGTAGGTCTTCTTTGGGACTTAAATGACATCATGCTATGGTATGGTCACCATCGGTCACCACAAGCAATGAGGAATTCATTAGGAAGGTAAAAGTGACCATATTTCTCTATAAACATCCACAGTAATAAAGACCAGTACAGAAAAATGAAACCAAGCACATCAAAATAATTAAGCCAGGATGCGTGCAGTAGTAGTTGACTTGCCTCTGTGGGGAGTGGTGGATCTTTTCTGTGAACTTGTTCGGGGTCCAAGGATGCTTTCCCAGCCTCTTGTGACGGCACTTTGCAGGAGGTGTAAGGACGGAATGGTGATGATTGCTAGGTTGCCAGATGGAAACAAGCTCTCTACTCTAGGGTATTATGGTCATTGAGACTTAAATGCTGGGCAATTGGAGGCGGATTTTTATTTCTTAAGAGCTAGAATGTCTTTTCCTTGTGGTCCATAAAAGGGTTCCAGATCTCAAGTTGCAGACCAAGGCACAGAGGCATTTTATGTGGGTGAGCTGGTCAGTTAAGACTTTCAATGAATTTGCCTTCCCTTTTGCTTTGGTTAGTTTGTGTTTAAGGTATGTCCTTGTTTGAGACGTGGGTTGCATGGTCTTCCATAAACTCTCTTATTTCATCCAGAGAAGTGCAATGAGAAAAATTACAAACTGGACCTTTGTAGAAGACAGCAAATGCTCTGGGTCAGCTCCCTTGCCTAAACCAGGGGAAAGAAACTTACTTATCTTTAGCTGTTTCTATACTTGACCTATGAGGTCATCTTATTAAGACAGTGAATGGTATAAATAGTCTCTTAAAATTAAGCTGAATTATCATATAATTTTACATTTCATCCCCCCCACAACTGATTAAATCATAGTTACTCCTAGTAGAGCATTTTCACCGCTCAAAGATGGAAGAGGGGAGGATCCCTTGAAGGACTTGATATAGGGGAAATAATGCCATGTGAGGCAGCCACTGTAAGCTAGAGTGAGTCTAGAGGAATAAGTGAGCGGCTCCCTGCGTTTCAGTGTCTGGTGAGAGGCATCCTTTTCAGCCTGGCTTTGTTTGTTTGTTTGTTTTGCCTTTTAAATGCATTCTGTTTCTCTCCATGTTTTCGTTTGAACCCTGGTTCCTCTGCGTAGGTGCTGGTCATTGCATTAGCCATCCGATTTAATCTAACGTTCTTTCAAATGAAGTTGTTAATGATGCGGGGGGGGGGCACTGGAATAAATCCTTGCCTGGTACTGCAGTGGGTGTCTGAACATCTGGAACCCCGAAGCCATGTCTGTTTTACCATCAGTTCGGTTTCCTCGGCTCAAGTAGCGAGAGAACACGTAATGAGCTCTAACAAAAACCAAGCAATGTTCTAGAGGAAAGATTTAGAAAACATACAACTATCTAGGGACTCTGGTTTGCCTTGATTTGTTTTTGGAGAAGTTTGTTTTTGTTTTTGTTTTCTCCTGAAAAGACCTGTCAATCAAGACGCTTCTGTCCAAAGAGATGTTTCTTTTAGGGATGTGGGCCACACAGCAGACGAGCAGCGGGGCGCCCCTCGCGTGGGTTTGGCTGCTTACCAAGGTGGCTGGCACCCCCTTGTGGCCATATACGAGCATACAGCCAATCAACCTCCCAAGGGCCGCCTCATTCTGGGCTTTCCTTCTTACTTTCTCCCTCCCGAAGCCCACCGTTGCTAGCTCCAGTTAATTTGTCTCACAAACTGTGGAGTTTATGCCTTGGGGTAAAACAAACATTTCTGTGAAACTGAGAAGGAAAACCAGAGGATGAGCCAGAGCTTTGGAAAGCCTTCTCAGACATTGCTTTAGGGAAATAGGTGCTTTCTTTGCGTTTAATCTTTTGGCCAGTCATAATTTTGTATTTTTGATAATAGAAGCTAGTATCTGTTTCATATAAATTTACTGAGCATCTGCTCTTATGAATAACACGGGAAGTGAAACAGACAAAATCGGACTTTCCTGAAAATGGTGTTGTAAGGACAAACGAAAACACAGTCAGTTTTGCAAAGTGACATTTTGCAGGTCGGCTTACAGCAGGGTGGCCTGCTTCTATATTGTCTAGGTCCTGGGCTGGATGAGGAAGGTCAGTATGATTTGTTCTGTGCTCTCGGGAGGGGCAGGGATAACAGGGGAGAAGCTTGAATAAAGGCTTGATGGTATGAAAGGACACACCATATTCAGGAAGCTTCGAGTAATGAGTGGGAATGTGAAGTGGCTTGGGGAGTGGGAAGAGGAGGCTGGTTGGTTAGATTTTAGCCAGGAAATGCTGGTAAGGGCCTGGTTAAGAAAGACATGATAACGCAGACCTCTTTGGTGAGGATAGAGGGGTGGAGGGTGGGGGGTGAGGCTCGAGGGATTAAAAACAATGAGAAGAGCCTTGTAATAATGTGCCTGGGGTAAAGTGGTGGTGCTCTAGTGTCATGGGGAAGGGCAAGGAGAGTGAGGAAGAGAGTAGAGTCTGGGATGAAGCAAAGGTTCTTACTTGGGGGGTTGAATCAGGGGCGGTTGCTCATTAACAGTATAGAAGGAGGAAGCTTGGAGAAAGGTAAATAAGTAGCTTTAGACCTGCTAAAAGTTTCAGAGTCCCATGCATCAGCATAATCATAAGACTAGTATGTACATTTTCCATATATATTTTGTGTGTGTTTAATATTTATGATGTACTTGTTAACAGTGTTGAGATAGAGTTGATATACAACTGAACATGTTTTAAGTGTATAATTTGGTAGTTTACACATGCGTATACACCTCTGAAGCCATCACCACAATTAAGATAAGGAATATATCCATCAGTCCCCAAAGTTTCTTTGTGCCCCTTGGTGATTCCCTCCCTCTCTGCCTCATCCCTCTGTCCCCAGGGAACCACTGATCTGCCTTTTGTCACTATAGATTTGTTTGCATATCCTAGAATTTAACATAAATGGTGTATGTGTTATATTCTTTTGTGTCGGTTTTTTTACACCAAGCATAGTTATTTTGAGATTCACTCCTGCTATTAGTGTATCAATCATTTATACTTTTTTATTGCCAAGTAGTATTCCATTACAATGATATATTATATCATTATATCATTATCATATCATTATCATTACTATAATTTACATATCGATTCACCTACTGTTGGTTATTTTTCTCCAGTTTTTGTCTCTCACAAATAAAGCCATTATGAATACTCACGTACAGGTCTTCGGACAGATATGTTCATTTCTCTTGGGTAGACACCTAGGAATGGAATAGTTGGACTATAGGTTAGGTGTATGTCTTATAAAAAAGATGGCTAAATTGCTTTCTAAAGCAGTTGTACCATTTTACATGTTCATCAATAATGTGTGAGAGTTCAGTATCCTTGCTCTTAGTTGGTAGAGTCAATGTTTACAGATGCCAGCCAGTGTAGTTGGAGGGTGGTGTTATTGCATTGTATTTTCCATTTGAATCTCCCCATTACTGAGGTTGAGCATCTCTTTATTTGCCCGTTTACCGACAATGTATCTTCTTTGATTTTGATATTTTGCCCATGAAAAAAAATGAGGTTGGTTATTTTCTTACTGAGTTTTGAGTATGTGTGTTTTAAAATATATTCTGCATGCAAATCTTTGATCAGATATATAATTTCAAAATATTTTTTCCTGGTCTATGACATCTTCTCATTATTTTAAAAATGTCTTTTGAAGAAAGAAGATTTTACATTTTTTTAAAGGTTTTATTTTTATTTATTTGAGAGAAAGCAAGAGAAAGAGTGGGGTTTTTAAAGGTTTTATTTTTATTTATTTGAGAGAAAGCAAGAGAGAGAGTGGGGTAGAGGGGGAGGGAGAAGCAGGGAGCCTGATACGGAGCTCGATCCCAGACCCCAGGATCATGACCTGAGTCGAAGGCAGATGCTTAACCTACTGGGCCACCCAGGTGCCCCGACATTTTACATTTGGATGATGTCCAATTTATCAATTTTTTTCTTCAATGAATCATACCTTTCATGCCATATTTAAGAAATTTTTACTTAACACAAGGTCAAAAGAATTTTTACTGTCTTCATCTAGAATTTTTCTAGTTTTAGGCTTCACATTTATGTCAATGACTTTTTGTATCTAGTGGGATGATCATGTGATTTTTGTATTTTAGAGAACTGATACAGATTACACTGCTTGATCTTTAAAGTTAAGCCAACTTTGGATTTCTGAGATGAACTCTATCTGGTAATAATGTGTTATCCCTATCAGGTATTGTTAGGTTCAATTTGCTAAAATTTTGTTAATAATTTTTGCATCTACATTCATGAGGGACATTAGTCTGTTGTTTTCTTGACTTATAATATCTTTGTCTCATTTTTGGAATTAGTATGATGCTGGTCTCATTAAGTAAGTTGGAAAGTATTCTCTCCTCTTCAATTTTCTGGAAGGATTTGCATAGAATTGGTCCTTTGAAGCCATTTTTGAAGCCAATGGTCCAGTGGAGCCATTTTTGCCTAGAGTTT